GGAAGAACCGATGGAATTTCAACGCGATAAACTCTCGTTTTCTTGCCGATAAGATCTGAAGTACGATCGAGAGTACATCGAGTGGGTCTATTGGAAGATTTGGTGGTTCGATCGCCGATTACGAGTTTACATAGTACGGTAATTAACGAGTACAAGAATTCGGGGATAGCCCCGTGTCCCGCGTGCGTGCTCGTTTTGTGTAAGTTAATAACGATCCGCTCTGGATCGAGTTGTTCGAAATCAAAATCACGATGCACGAGGTTCATTTTTGCTGCGGCCAGGATGTCCCTCGCAGGGAGTCCCATCGTCGAGTGTGTACAAAAGTGCATGATTAATGATCGCCGAGTATCGATGCATCTTGAAATGGAGGAGATCGAAAGGAGAAGAAAGAACCTGGGAAAAAGGACCAATCACATGACGGGGCACAATTGTCGGGACAGCTGGCCCGTAGCTTTTAATTGAGCCAATTTCGCCGAGTTCGTATTCAACCTCGTTAACTAATCTACAGATTTTCTTCGCTAATTTAAACCCGGCCGTTATTACAGGCTATGCATGGAGCAGCGTCGAGTAACGCGGCCGTAATTAGATTTCGCGATTAACTCGACTTTGTTATTGTTTTTAGAAAAGAAAGAACAGGTTCGGCAAAAACGCCAGAGACCGTTAAGATGTTGGTATTAAACGATCGCGAGTTAATTTCTATCGCTGAGCGAGAGGTGCCTTTGTTCGGGGACAAAGGGTAACAGGTATTTGGGGGATTTCGTTGAAGAAAGTAATTCGTACGCGACAGGATGATCGTTAGGTACGAAATAAATTAATATACAAATGGAGTGATTGAAGAATTCGAATTTTTACCCGTTTTGGTTGCGAATAGTTGTTAGGAATTATTAGAATTGTTTTTGGTTGCGAGTGATTATTATAGATGATGGAAATTGTTTTCGATCGCGAATAATTATGGATAGAAGTTATTTGCGATCGCGAATAACAATTATGGATCATAGAAATTATTTTCAATAGCGAACAATTATGGATAATAGAAATTATTTTTGATCGCGAATAATATATTGTGGATGATGGAGATTATTTGCGATCATGAATAACAATTATGGATAATAGAAATTATTTTCGGTCGCGAATAACAATTATGGATGATGAAAATTATTTTTAATTGCAAATAACAATTATGGGTGATAGAAATTATTTGCGATCGTCAATAACAATTATGCACGGTGGAAATTATTTTCAATAGCGAACGATTATGGATAATAGAAATTATTTTTGATCACGAATAATATATTGTGGATGATGGAGATTATTTGCGATCATAAATAACAATTATGGATAATAGAAATTATTTTCGGCCGAGAATAACAATTATGGATGATGAAAATTATTTGCGATCGCGAATAACAATTATGGATAGTGGAAATTATTTGCGATCGCGAATAACAATTATGGATGATGGAAATTATTTTTGATCGCGAATAACAATTATGGATCATAGAAATTATTTTCAATAGCGAACGATTATGGATAATAGAAATTATTTTTGATCGCGAATAATATATTATGGATGATGGAGATTATTTGTGATCATGAATAACAATTATGGATAATAGAAATTATTTTCGGCCGAGAATAACAATTATGGATGATGGAAATTATTTTTGATCGCAAATAACAATTATGGATGATGAAAATTATTTGCGATCGCGAATAACAATTATGGATCATAGAAATTATTTTCAATAGCGAACGATTATGCATAATGGAAATTATTTGCGACCGCGAATAACAATTATGGATGATGGAAATTATTTGCGATCATGAATAACAATTATGGATGATGGAAATTATTTTTGATCGCAAATAACAATTATGGCTGATGAAAATTATTTGCGATCGCGAATAACAATTATGGATGGTGGAAATTATTTTTGATCGCAAATAACAATTATGGATGATAGAAATTATTTGCGATCGTCAATAACAATTATGGATGGTGGAAATTATTTTCGATAGCGAACGATTATGCATAATGGAAATTATTTGTGACCGCGAATAACAATTATGGATGATGGAAATTATTTGCGATCACGAATAACAATTAT